GGATGCCATCCGCAGGGCACTTCTGGGACTAGACTGGCAAACCACCAAAGCTGAGCTGTCGAGGCCCCTGTATAGCAACCTTTTAACAAGGCTTTATTTGTATATGTTTCAGTATGTTTTTAACCTTTGATTAGAAGGTATAAGATAAAGATTTGACTCACCCACTGAACTTTTCAGCAATGTAGAATACTGAAGCCATATTCTGTCTGTTGGAAAACTAGAAAGACGACTCCTGGTTTAAATAGGGATTTTGGAAAGTCAGAAAGGAGACACAGTGCTGTTAAATGAAATGGACACAGACATGATTTCCTATGTTACAGTACCTGTCATCAGAAAATCTCAGGACCCTTTATAAGAAGGCCCTCAGAAAAAGCTTTTTTGTAATTGGCAAGAAATAATAAGATAGAAGGCAGAAGTCTCCATGATTTAGTCAAAGATTCTCCTGTGCATTTATACAAAGCTTTTACCTAAAAGTCAAGTCAGCATATTCTTGTCATTGAGAATTCAGAATAGAGAGTCTGAAAGTACAAATACATTCTTATATTAACATTAGGTTCTTGGAAAACATAAATCTTTTTATAAAATATTTATTTCTCTGTAAATACAAATTTCAACATCAACAAACAATAGTCCAGTGGAAAAATACTAGCCAGTAACATTGAAAACTTTCTTCTTAATTTAATAAATAGAACTTTGGCATTCAAAATTCTAGCTGTAAACCCTATTAAAAAACAAAACAACAACAAAAAAACCCCTTTACAAAAAAAGAGGCAAGAATGATAGATCAGAAGGCGTAAGTCAAGCCAACCAGTGGCTTCACATTCTTTTTTTTTTTTTAATATAATAACTGTATTTCAATTAAGTCATGAACACTGTATTTACACATGAGGTATTCTGAGTGGTTCAAAAACTGAACCTAGTTTACAAAATCACCAGTCAAAGTGACTGATTAGACACTGTGCTGTGCTTTTAACGTAACCACCTAGCACCTTACTACTTCTTGTCATCACACCAATGCGAAGTTTTATATTTAATGTATTTTAACTATTTATACATATATGTACATATACATACACATAAATGAATACATTCTAAAGTTGTTCCGGCTCACTACACAGGGAAGGCTGGGCTCCAAAGACATATATCTGATAATTCCTCTCATGTTTACTAAGGTATCCACTTAGTAATAAAAAACATCTCCTTGCTTAAAAAAAAATCCTTAATAAAGTCTATTTACAGAATAACAAGGTGCAATAATCATCAACATTCTTATAACTCATGTAAAATAGAAATAAATGCTTACTGCAGGCAAAAAGGCACAAAAGGTTCTCTCGGTATACAGCTGCAATAGTATTATTAGATGTATTGATTTAAAACTATATTCTTATATTCAGCAGTACTTTTAAATAAGAAAAAAATCCAGAATCTTTCCCCTACATGATGAAATATATGATATAATCATACGACAATATGCCACCCACAGCATTTTGAAGCAAAGTTGGAAATTTTGCTCTTTATACCAAATAGAAAATTGTTTCCGTTGTTGTGTGAACACTGAATTGTCAAAAATGGAAACAAAATTAATTACCTTTGGCTTGGGGAGTTACAGCCACTGGCAGTTTCAAATGATATAGTCTGTGTGTGCATGGTTATGAAAATTGCTTATTACCATAATTACGTATCTACAATGATAGAATTCCTACGTAAGAGAATGCCAATAATCCAAAAGCTGAACTATGCTATGCATAAATATAGTCCACGTTCCCAGCTACTATGTTACTTAACGAACTATTACTGATATTTAAAGAACATTTTCCCGATTAAGTAGCTCCTTTAAAAATATCCTGTAAGAAATCAGTCTTGCACTATGACAGAATTACTTTATAAGCTCCTTAGTATATCAGAAATGTATGATATTCATTTTAGCAACACTTTCCAGACCTTGAGATTGTCTCTATAACAAGCTATTAAAAGAAATCTAATTAGGTTTAATAAACTGTTACCACCAAAATAAGTTTCACTAAAATATAATACTGTTAACATTAAATATTGAATCCCATTTCAAATATATCATAAGAAGGTGTCACATTTATTTTAAAACAACCTCAGGAATATCTTACCTAGCCAATACTTGTGGGTGTGTTTTTTTTTAATTAGAGGCCGCTGAAAATTAATATTTCAACTTATATCATCTTATTTTTCTGGCATCAAATGAAAAGATAGCTATTGTGCCTTTGATTCAGTGAATTTTATCTGTACAGGGAATTTGTGCCTTTCATTGAGTCAACTGTTACTTTATCCTTGCTGTAATGTGACCGAGGCAGAATAAACTCAATGTTAAAACTCGAAAGAACAATTAATACTAATACTGGATACAATACTTTCTAAGAAGGCAAGTGTTTGATTCACAAAAAGCACAACTAAAAAGAGGTTTCATTATCTAAGGAAATTTTCAAGTAGATTCAATTTAAAATTTAGGTTAATTTTCACTTCAGGGATATATTGCTGTGATAACTTCCATGAACATCCTAGTTCAAACTAGGTAAGACACTCTAGTGTTGCTATTTGTCCATCTTATTTGGTCTAACAGTAACATCTGTTTTTAATGTGATACAGAAGAGGATGTTCTAATACAAGAGGGTGTCTTGGGAATGAAAAGTTTTCTGAAAAATCACAATCAAAAATTAAATACTGACAAACTAGAATGCCATTAGTTTCAATTTTCCCATAAAATCCCTCCAAGTCTATCTACTGATTATTTAGGTCTCTTCACAAACTCCAGATTTTAAGAAGACCAATCTATAATTCAACTAACTACTTAAACCAGCACATCTTAACTCCATTTTTTTATGCGGAGGGGTACAGATTTTGGAAACTGAAACACATCAGCAGTAATTTGTTAATTTCCTATTAGGTCAGAAATTTTTTAACTTTAGAATTTTACTTTTAAGATATGTGAATTAAATTAAATTCTGTAAGTTTTAGAACGCTTACAAAAACAAATTAATTTTATCCCCAACTAAGCCAGAAAATAAAAATGTATCTAGAGTAGCATAAAACAAACAACTATAACATTTGCTTAAAACAAAAGTAATAACCACAAAACCCAAAACATACACTAAAAATCTAGGAGATATTTAAGGAAGAACTCACTGATCCAAATTAGTGATTGTTTGCCAATTCATTCTACTATTTTAGAAAGGCTTTATTTCCAAAATCATGGGGAGGGTGGTTGGGATTCTACTCAAAGAGAATGTAAAAATGTTTGCTGTACTTGCGGCTGATGTATTTTAGATGTTATTTTCTACTTTACTGGAAAGGACCAAGGCAGAATTCTTTGTATTACATTTTTGGTAGAAATTTACTATATCCTGATTATCTTCAAGCTACTAATGTTAAAAAACCAAGTGAATATATTAGAAAGCCAAGTTCTTACCAGTGACTAAGTCCCTCCTTAGGTTAAGGACCCTGGGATGTAGAACACTACAATGTACGGATTTCTTAATGCCCGGATCCTAAGAATTAAGAGGAGTAAGGACTCAGGCACTGAACAGAAGGAAAATCTGATGTCTTAACAGCGTATTTTAACTGATTATTCAAGTATAACTATAAAATAATTTATTCAGAGCTGTATATGCCAAAATTCCAAACTGAGTGTCCCCCTAGGTAGTTTCCTTGAAGGCCTTGTCTCACATTTTCACTGTTAAATATTTAAGAAAAATCTTTCCTAGAAGAGCCTTTATACTAGTATATAAGCCTGGCAAGAAAACAGGCACATGTTATGCTCTTTATCAAATCAATAGTATCCTGCTGGAGTCACATCCTCTAACCTCCATCTCTTACTTAGTTTTGACCTAAATGAGACTCGGTTGCATCCAGAAATCAAACTAACTTAACAAAGGACAAGGCTTTGACTAAGTATATTCAAAAGAATGTAATCAATGCTCTGAGGGCAATAAAATGTATAATCCTTCCAAAATACCAACAGAAGCATGGACAACACTCATTTGGAAGTTTAAATGACTATATGTCTACTGAAAAATCAACTGCATTTCATAGTAATACCCTGTACACTTCAGATGAAGAACTAACCTGGCCAAGTCCATATCCTATGAAAAATTCTGTTGTTAATGTACTTTATCTAATAAAAGGAATTAAAATACCATCTCAATAAAATTTTTTTATGCTACTGTTGATTCAGATTTAAATAGTGTTGGCTTTTTCTTAAAGTAGTTTCAACTTTGAAACAGATACAAAACTGTTAAAGTGTAAATGTTGTGATTTGGATAAGTAAGCTATTGTTCCAGAGTAACTTAATTTTCTTTTATAATAATGATCTGATGCCTTTATTAATTATATATGGCTTTTTTACATTTATATATAACATTGTAAAATTGTAACAATTGTTATAATTTTATATAACATTAAAAAATTGTAAATAGTAAGGAACATGTTAAAATTAGTTCAAGTTATGTTAACCTTTCTTGTAACACACACATTATAATGCTAAGGAAAAAGAACATCATATCAAAATTTCACACCTCTTAAGAAATCCACAATCACTCTGGAAAAACAGCTGACCTATCTACAGTATTAAAATCAGCTCAACCAAACAACATTATCAGTGCAATAAGTGTTCAAAATACAAATGGTTTTGCCTGCAATACCATTACAACACTTGCCTGCTGTTGGAACTCTTGTTCAGGCAGCCACTAAAAATCCCAAAGCATAACACAAGCTTCTATATGAAATATATAAGAATAAACAGCGTGTGTCTTTCTCAGGAGCTCTGCTCTTACCCTAGAAACCCTTATAAATTTGTGAATAAAGCGCGTGCATACACACACAACACACATACAAGCACACACAAAGCTATAGGATTAAAAGGATTCCTACTCCTTCATGTGAAGGGTACTCTTCACAGCTTGGTCCTACAATCAGTAGTTTGAGAATATAGACTCTTTTTTTCTTGTAGATTTTACCACATTTTTCAAAGGTAATTTGATTTTTTTTTCCCGATTAGATAAGCCCCTTCAAACCCTCTTCACATTCCTTTACCGCTTCAATAAAACAAATCCACAGAAAAAAATCCTTATGTGCAAGTCACGTCACTTGAAACCTTCCATTATGGCTCCATAACACAGCAGCATTTAACAATGGGTCATTATTGCTGTGGGACTAATACTTGATCACTGAGTAACGCAGTTGTCTCCCATGTCCTGAGCATAGCGGTCTGATATTGTAGTCCTTAATTCATCAATGTCTCTTCGTAACTGGCACACATCTGACAGTTTCTTAGTGAGTGTTTCTGCACTGTGGTCATTCTCAGTCTCTTCAGCTGAACAGTTCATTGCTGTGTAAATAAAATATGGAGAAAGTATCTCACATTTTTTTGAACAAAGACATTTTAGAATTTTTCACCTGAATCATCATGGAAATATAATGCTACACATTGAATATCAGTGAGGCTCAGGTTTACATTATGCATCTTTCAATATTAAACAGATCTTATTCACTTGGTTCTTTATACATTTTGCTAATTAAAATGAATTAAATTCATCCAGTGATGCACAAAAATTCAGCATGTTTAATGGGTAACAATATTGTCGACCACAGAGAAGTGTAAGTATTAGGTAACCAGATTCATAGTTTAGACAGCTCTGTCTGGCAACAATGTAAAATGGATTACGGGGAGGAGGTGAGAAAGGTGGTTGTCAGAGAGACCAGTATAGGGGATGGGTTATGAAAACGTAAAGCAATAGTGCAATGGAGACAGAATGGCAGGAATGTTAAATGTAGTAAGCAGATGACAGAACTAATAGCGCTCAATCATTATCAATTTGAGTGAGGGGCAGGGATTGGGCATAGGTCCCAGATGAAGGAAAAAGCAGACTAGAGAATCAAATCTGGGTTCAAATGACAGGTGAAAAGGTGGTGTTACTCACTGAGAAGAGGAACAGGTTCGGGGAGAGAGGGAAAGTGAGTTCTGGTTTTGAATGTGTAGAGTATGTGATGCATTCAAAACAGCCAATTCTAACATAAGTGGGAATATAATCTGGAGCCCAGAGGAGATAAGCGTCTGGGTAAAGGAGGTAAATGTGTAGGTGAAAGGTATGGCAGTAACAAACAAAGGGGTATATAAGATCACTCAGATAAAGTACTGAATAAAAAGAAACAGACACAAAACCAGTAACAAAAGGCTTCTGGTGATACCAATAATTAAGTGGCAGAGAAGTCCACAGAAGATAGAGACTGAACAGTCATAAAGGCAGAAGCAGAACCTAGAAAATGATGGCATGGGAACCAAGGTAGCACACAGTTTTCAAAAGGATAGAGTGAGCAAATGGAGTCACAAATCAACTGGTTTTTCACAAATCAACTAGCTGGTAAAATTTTTACAATGCCAAATACAAAAGATTCTGGGGTCAAACTTTAAAGACCAGAAGTAGCACTGAGAGATGGGGGTGGTAAGATTCACATTAGGATAACTCTACTACTCTATTACTGAAAAACTTAACCAAAAATGCTACCTTATGATAGTGAAAATGTAGAAGACTGTAAAGTAATTAAAAGGGTGGCCAACTCTATAGTTGTGGAGAAAATGAGTTCCCTTTGTGAGCTTTTGCGTCTTGCCCACAAGAGATAAGCAGTCCATGTTCACCTGACAACCTTCTCTTCTTCCTCCTCTAAGATTGACACTGAACACTAGCTACTCTGTGGAGTCTCCCCTCCCATGTAGATTTAGTTGTTTTTTTACCTCTTGAGCTCCCACTGTCCTTAGTCCACATCTCACTTATAGCTCCTATCACAATGCTCTAATAATTTGGTTCATGTGTGGGCAAAGGCTGTGTTCAGGTTATCTGCATTACCAGCACCTACTTAGTGTCTGTACCATAGAAGGCATCTGATAAATGTTTACTCCGTGAGTGAATATACTTAAACCTTATGTTTTTTTTCCATATCCACACTTGGGTATGTGTACAAATATCTATGAAGTGAAAGAGACATAGCTGAGCACAAATACATTTCATTTAACAAGACACGTTTCATTTAATAAGATATGCAAATGGTCAACAGCATTATTTGATTTGCCAAAATAACTATTATGATGCAAAATGGTGGAATCTTTATGATGAAAATAGAAACAAAACCGGTCTCTCCTCTAGTCATATATTAACCATAGTATTAGGCAGCTACTAAATATACATGTTGGCTCATAAACCTTATTATGTGGTCTTACTCCATTCCTATTTCCTTCCAAGTTCATTCTTCCTTATTAAAAAGAGACTAACATCCTAATTTGTAACCACATGCAGAGATGAGCATTTCTGCAAAATAGCACACAAAGGGACACTAGGATTATTACTGTGGCAGCTCTCACAATCATGTGTGGAGGAAGACAGAATTGAGGCCAAGAGCGAATGGGTGTCACACTGAAAGGCATAAAGCCAGCAGGTATGCATAACAAAAGGAACACATCTGTAAGCTGTGAAAACTGGGTCATGTGAAATCACTGGCACTCACATGAAGCAATTACCATAGAACATATACTGCACTGAAAAGCAAAATATTTCTCTCAAATATTTTACCAGTAGACATATGGCTGGGTCACTTAATCTGTGCAACTAACAAATGAGAGCAAATAGAAGGAATCATTATTCTTGGAAGAGTAAATGGGAAGTCATACCTAACTACCACTGTATTCACATATTTACAGAATCAACATAGGAAACATCACCAGGCATTCTGCCAAGTGGTAGTTAATGTCAGCTATAACCCCACTCACTTCTAGCAATGAAATAATAACAGGTATATAAATATAAACCCACAGACTGATTCTAAGTAGGAAAGGAAATTACAAAAATAAGCAGAGAAAAAGCAGTCAGAAGTTCCTGATTCATGAAGGTAGGTTTCAATTGCCACAAAGTAAGAACAAGTCATCAGACACTTACATCTTATTCCCAGTAATAATGAAAGATTAGGCTCCTTGCCTTGAGCACGCTGATTAAGAACACTACACAATGCTTTCAAGTCAAACAAACAACAGGACATTTCCTTGAACAGCTGATCAATCACAGTCAAATCAAATAGTGGCCATTTGGAAAGAACTGTCTGCTGCCTAGATTGGTCAGCTTCCTGGCCCTGATCGAATAAAGAGCATGTCTCATCTGTTTGTCTTTGGTTCTGCAATGGATAAAGAAAACAAACATCAGATTGTTACAATAGAGGAAAGGTACTAAAAGCCATACAGGTTAACATTTTCCCCCAAGTCTATAAACAAAACGGTGGAGTCAAATTATATGCACGTTAACCAAATTCAATTATATATATGCAATACATATATGGGGGAAAAACACACAGAAAAATAACAATGTAAATAGTAGAAATTGTGTCTCTCTGCCATCTGATGCTTTAGTGTATATCCAAGGGAGGAAACATAAATCCAGTTTCAGTTTCTAGGAGTCTCTCACGTAATGAGTATGTTGGTTGTGTATGTATTTTTCTTTTTGAGGCCTCACTCTGTCACCCAGGCTGGAGTATAGTGGTGCAATCATGGCTCACTGCAGCCTTTGACCTCCTCAGGCTCTGGTGATCCTCTCACCTCAGCCTCCTGAATATCTGGGACCGCAGGTAAACACCACCATGCCTGGCTAATTCCTGTATTGTTTTGTAGAGACACGGTTTTGTCACGTTGCCTAGGCTGGTCTCAACCTCCTGGGGTGAAGTGATCTGTCCACCTCAGGTTCCCAAAACAAAGTACTAGGATTACAGGTGTAAGCCATCACACTCAGACTGTATTTTTCTATAGTGAGATTTATTCCAACGATAAAAGGAACTGCAAAGTAACTTTGAACCTCACCCTGTGGGTTTTATTATTAGTAGCAATAGTGATTTAATCACTTTGAAACTACTTTTTGCATATTGGTGGGGGCAAGGCATCCATGTTAATGTTGATAGGAACTAAAACTTTCAGTGTAAGAGACAAAGAAATACAAAAAAAATTGGCATAAAACCAAAGAAGAAGAAAAAAACCCAACAATCATGAATTGCTGACCCCCAAAACTGCTACCTTCTTATCCTTAAAACTTCTAATTAAAGGTAACTTTAATTAGTTTTCCAATTGGAACTGTATTTCAGAATAACCCAATAGTCTAGGATGATGAAGAATAAACTTTTTATAGATGAATGGCAGCTAATAATATAATAAATATATACTGTACTATAAGTACGTGAAACTGTATTCTAAAACACAAGAGAAAGATTTGTCTTTTTATAATAATTTTGGTAAGAAAGAATGGATTTAATTACAGGGATATCAAAATAACATCTTCAATCTGAAAATGCTCTATTAATATTTATAAAATAAGCATCTGCTTAAATAGGTAGTGAACCGTCCTTTCAAAGCAAACTGAATTTCTTCTACTCACTTCAAGCAATGCTTTTGTTAATCTCTGTAGGTTTCTTTCTTTCTTTTCCAGCTCTTCCATCATCTTTTGAGTGGTCACTTTCTCTTTAGAAAGCTTTCCTTGCATAGACTAGAATTTAAAAAAAAAATTGGAAAGCAAAACAGGTTAACATGTAAAGAAAACTCTCAAATAGAAATAAGCAGAAATGTTGGTTCTGAATACTTTAGATCTTCTTTCCTCCCTATCCCCTTAGAAGATGAAGCCTTCATTTTTAAATTAATCCATATTAGAGAATGGCTTACTACAAATAAAAAAGAAAAAGAAATGCCAGTTTTCCAGAATACATTTGAATTCTTTTAATTATAATTTTTACCAAGAAGTTTTTAATTTATATAAACATTAAAATCTGAAGTTCCTACTTAATGCTGTATTACAAACAGTTTTTATTTCACTAATATATGTTGGGAGTGTATTAGCAACAAATCTATGCTTTTTTTGTTTTACATTTTGCTTATGGTTAATGAGATGCAAGACAATAAGATCATTGTATCATCTCTATTTTCTATCATTTGAAACATAGCTCCTTTCTTTCAGTGTACAGTATTCCAGCAGTGAATACACTGTGAACTCCGGTCAAAGGTCTACTGTGGGAATTTGATAAGCTAATCTCCTTCTTACTCCTTATAAAATTGCAAATTATCTAGACATGACAATATTTTGAGTACACCAAAGCAGCATAAAGGACATTTTAAGAGTCTTCGGTTAGTCTTACTTTTCACCTATATAGTAAAAGAGAAAACTGCCATACATTCTGTAGTTATTAGTGAATTCTAAGTGTTTCTATCAACTAGTTTCCTTTTATTAGACCACAAAAATCAATATACATATGACCAGAAGAGAGGTATCACTTTATTTCAGGTCTGTATTTAGTCTCAACTCTGACAATGCTTCAGTATGCTGACCACCTAAATAGTAAACATTCTACTCTAAAGATTTTTTCCTCATATTATCTTTGGATGGGGTAAGAGAGAAGATGGCTATCACCATGGGTTAAAATAAGACTATAAATATAAAGCAGTTTTATTGGTAACATATAAAACTTGTTGCTTTTAAATTTCATTTGTCTGCTAAACTCTGAAAAAAAAATTACACTTAGTAACTCAGAAGTTGAATAGAAATGAATCAAACTCTATATCTTCTTCCAGGGAAAAGTTGTTCTATATTTCACAAAAATGAATCTCACAGCACAAAGTTAATATGCTCTGAATATGTGCATAATTGAAAATTGAAATTTCCTTTGTAACTTCATTAGATTGAATCAAAACCTTATTTGATTAAATGAACATGGAGATTTATTCACCTAGCTGAAGAGCTATGCTTTCCGGCCTGACAAGATTATTTGGCTGGAATCCAAAATTCAACCTAAATTCTCAACATTTGTGACTGTTTATTAGAATTCGTCACAAGAAGAAAGGCATCACAGATACACTACTCAAACTCACATTCTAACAATAAAAATTAAACCCAAGAGGGGTGTTTTCACAATATAATTAATATAACAGAATAATTATAATAGTGATACATTATAACAGAATATAATTCTGTAAAAGATAAGAATGTTTTATATTTTTACCAATTCAGAGTCATGTTGAATGTGACTAATAATTAGCTAATAAATCCGGCTAATATGTCCCTATGTAAGGCTGATTTTAATCAGTGCAGAAACAGGCAATCTTCTCCATCAGAAAAACTGAAAACGTCTGGCAGTAGTACCATTTATTACAAAAAGGAAAATCAGATATCTTATATGTTGCTTGGGTTTAAGGTAGTTATCAAGAAGCACTTTAATAGGTAAAAGACATTGCAGTTAGGCTTATCCTGAAAAGACCAAGTGCTGTACAGTTTTTAGGATAATACTAGGTATGAGTGCCGTTGTCTGACAGTAACATTTCACCTAAAACATTAATTATTTCTCTATCCTAAATTGTATTAAGAAGTGTATGTTTAAAAGAAAACAAGAAAGAAATTCCATCAAGAATAAATAGTGTGTGTTACTTTACAAATACTTTTTGCAAAGCATTTTTTTGAATCTCTTAGGATCTTAAAATATACTCGCTCAAACTGGTAGTATTCTACAATGCATAAATGAAATATCTCATATTTTCTGAAATAAGTGTTTAGCTTCTTGAATTTCACAATAACTGTTTATCACTCAGTAGACATGGAGATTAACAAAATTAAAAATTAATTTACAACCACCTATAATAGCTCTTTAATTCTCAGTTTAATCATGGCATTTTAAAATTCTGCTAAGGAACTAACCCACAAGGTCTTTATTATGATCATGTTTGAAGTTGAAAAGTGGTTTTAAGCACATTTGTTGTTCGATGCTAAGTATCCAGAAATGTCCCATTTACAAATAGCTCAAATGAGGAAAAACCAGGTGTGCCTTAGTTAGCAGATTCTATATAATCCACAAACCCAATTTAAGAGGAATTATTTTGAAAGAAAATTTATGTTAACATTTTTACTGCATATATACATATACACACATAAACATGCATACCATATAAGAAATTCACAAGCACATTCCTTCATGCAATCATTCTTTCAGCAAAAATCATTGCCAAACACTGTTCTGTGCATTGAGTGATACACCAGTGAACAAAATAGTAAAAATTCTTGGCCCTTGTGGAACTTTACTAGGTAAATATGTAAGTTACACAGTATCATATATTAGAATTTGACTAGTGCTGTGGAGAACAAACAGAGCACAGTAAGGGTCAGGAGGTTGAAATCTCAGGTAAGCAAGGGCTTGAAGGAAGTGAGAGATTTTGTCCCACAGATACCCAGAGAGTTTATCAGCACAAAGGTTCTGGGACAGATGGTGTCTTCCGTGTTTGAGAAAAAGTAAGAGAGCCAGGATGGCTGAGAATAGCAGGAGAAAGAGTCAGAGAAGGAAGGCAGCCTGCAGAACAGATTGTATAGGGCCTCATAAATCAGTATAAGAAATCTAATTTTTATTCTGGAAAAAATGAGGATCCACTGAAGAGTTCTGAGGAGAGACATGATGTAATCTGATTTTTGTTCAATAGGATCACTTAAGCTAATGAGAGTATGCTGAGCACAGGCAAGGGTAGAAGCAGAAAGAAATAATCCAGATGAGAAAGTGTCAGATACAGTAAGTTCCTCTTCAGAGGTTTAACTTTCAACTTCCTTGTTCTTTCTTCTTGAAATCAACTTCCTTGTCCCTTTCCTAAGCTACCCATTCTGTAAACTGCTCCTTCTGCTGAAGCTACCCTTCCCAACTTCGCTGCACCGTGACATGCCCAAACATGCCTTAACGAACAACCTCTCCCTTCCCGCCTAATTAGCCATATTCAATTTCAAATACTAGCCAACTGGGTTAGGTTAGACTGTGTGGTCGGTCTCCAGCCAATGGGGACAGGACACAGAAGCCAGGGACTAGCTGTGTTAGGGATAAAAATCCCTTCCCTCCCTTATTCAGAGTGTTCTCACAGCAGCCAGAAGGGTAAGCAGCACCCTTCTGCAGAAGTAAATTTGCCTTGTTGAGAAATCTTTTGTCTAAGTGCTTGTTTCCTTTGTGACTCTGAGCTCTTATTTCCAACAAAAGGAAGATGGCTTGGAACAGGGTGGAAATGGAGGAGGAATGGAGAAGAGGTCAGATTCTAGACATACTTTCAAGGTAGAAGAATTTGCTGACAAATGTGAGGTAAGTGAGGAGTCAAGGATAAGTCTAGGATACCTGGACTGAACCAATGAAAGGGCAGAGCTGCCATTAATAGGAAGTCTGAAACATATAGCAGGATGTTTATTTTGGTGGTGGGGAAAAAATCTTTAAAAAGCACCCCCTTTTTTGGTTTTATGTTTCTAAGACTCTAAGACAATGTACAGCTGAACTTCCTTTCTTAAGTTAGTTACCATGTTGTAACTTGATAAAACTTTAAGAACAATTTTGCTTTTAGCATGACAGCATGAAGAGCTCCACAGGCCCACCCCTCAATGAAATTGGTGAATATTATAATTTAAAATTTCTGGAAATGGTCCTAAGAGCATATAGCAAATGAAGAAACATTTACTCAAGAAAATCTATTGAAACTCAGTAAGAACAGTAAGAGACTGGTATTTGAAACAAAACTCTGCTTCATGAAAGGATTCTGGGGGGAAAAAACTGAAACAAAACTCAACTCCATCTCTGCCTTCTCACATCATTGGGATGGAAATTCTACTCCAGAGTGGTACAGCCAATAACACAGGGCGCCCTCTCCTTCCAGCCCCCAGTTAGAGAGCTCTCTTCCCAGAAAAGATAGGACATCAACATTTATCATCCTGTTCATAGCTACCTGTAGCAACGGCTGTTCCAGGAAAGTGCAACCAAGAGGTAGAGGCACCCTTCTTCTACCCATATCCCCTTATGGGATGGAAGCTTACATTGAGTTCAGAACCATTGATCCTTGCCCCAGCTTGTGGGGCATTGTTTCTATGGGGGAGAGGCAAGTCAAAAAGACCTACAGCTGCTGCCCCAACTCCCTCCAGTGAGTGTTCAGCTACTAGAGTGGAGGTATCATTCAGAAGCTTTTCATTGTCCCCACACCAATTAGCCTAGCTTAAGAGATTTTGCCTAAAGAAAAGTAGGCCACAGAACTAGAAGCTCCAAATGTCTCTCTATAGGAATTGACTTCATTTGCAACAGTGTGAAGGTCAAGGCTTCGAGCACTCAAAAAATTGGAAGTTTTGGTGAAAGGCAGTTGGCAGGATACTTTTAGATCCATTGACCCTGTAGGCTAAATCCATAGACTAACTACTTTCCCAAAAAGAAACAGTAAGATAGCTGGGAAGAATACTCCTGAGGTCAGAACAAATCTCAAACACTAACCTAATGAACTATCCCTTCAAAAGAGCTACAGTGGATCAGTTTGTGAAGCAATTTATACTGCAGGGCATTGTTGAAAACAACAGAATGATTGGATGACAATTGGTGGAGCTTAACAGCTGGATATGGTCAAGAGTCACAAAAGACCATATATACATTTGTATGAAATGTTTAAAATAGGTATATGTATAAAGATGGGAAGTAGATCGGTGGTTGCTGATGGCTGGAGAAGTGGATGGGGGCTTAGGGAAGTGACAAAAGGTATAAGGCTTCTATTTGAGATAGAAATGTTCTAAAATTGACTGTGGTCTTGGTTCCACTTATTTGTGAATATATTAAAGAGTACTGAATTGCACACTTTAAGTGGGTGAATTGTAAGTGACTTATATCTTAATAAAACTGTTACTAAAAATTAGCACACTATAAAGAAAAAACCCAATCTGCTTGAGTTCCTTGTCTTCTAGCTTCCGGAAAAAAATCTATTTTCTGGTTTATAAGTAAGATCTACCAAAATATGTTAAACGTGTTTGATGACACCTAAGAATCTCAGAAACTAAACTTGTTTTTTAAATGTAAACCTCAGTCTTTCTATCTAGTTCTCACTCTTTGGTTCACTAAGCATGCTGAGGATTGTAATACTTCCTAAATGCTCTGGTTCTACTGCCAGACTATATAGTTAGGGATTGCCTGGGGAACTTAATAATACATAATTCGAACTTCATCCCAGAGACACTGATTCTTTAGGTTCACAGTAGGGCCCAGAAATATGTATCTTAAAAAGTATTACAAATAATGTGAATATCCATATAGATTTGGTGACTACTCATAGGGCAAACCAGTCCAAGAACATTCCTTCATGATTCAAATGAGCTGTCTTCATTCGTACAAGTCCCCACCCTGACGTAACTGATTTTTCAAAAGTTAAATGCATCTTTTATGCATTTTTTTCTGACATATCTTAATTATGCAACTATAATATGCATACAATAGATCTACATGAACAGTAAAGACTGTTCTCTTTACAAATACAAAGACTATAGTGAAAAAAAAATTTTTTTAAAGCTACTTTTCATAGAAGGCATTATTTGGCTGGTAGGTTTTTCAAAATTTAGTATTAACTTCTGATAAGAATACTTTTGGTTTTTTACTCATCATAGGCAATTTTACAGAGGTAAGTGTTTTTTAAATTAAACTTTAGAAAAATAACTATTTCAAGACATAACACAATTTGGATAACAAAATAATAGGAGATAAACATCATGCGATAATGGGAAGACATTAAAGCAACTGATATTTAAAGAAGTTATATTCTACCTATGAGACATTCCATTGACATGATCCGTTTCTCACTATTTCTACTGAGAAAATCTGCTAGATGAAGGATTTATGAGATTTACTAAAAATTTGAATATAATTTTCCTAGGCTGTGGGAACATCTCAATGTGTTATACATAGAACAGACTGTCAGTTTTGAGATTGTTGGTTCCAACCATGACTGAGTAAACAGTCAATGTCTTCTAATGTATTATTCTGTCTTTTGTGAGGTATTATGATTATCTATTGATAGCTGCCAATTCAGAAAGACCATCTAAATGCCTAAGTTCTTGTAATTAGTAAACATTTTAATGTCAGAGAAAACAAGCAAACATTACAAACCTACATGTCCTCTGCCAAAGATTATAATGACAACAGCTCACTGAAAAAAGCTTATGGACGTGAAATGTGCTTTTGAGAAATATATAAGAAGGAAGGTAATGCCCAGTGAAGAACTTAATCATATTCTGACTCTAGCCATATGTTCATGGAATTGACAGGGAACATTCTACTGCAAAATGTCTTTATATACTGTATACTAACAGAAGAAAAAACCTGTAGGAGAAGCAGCCAGGCTAGCTATACTAGTTTTACGGATAAAAAGAAGGGCAACATTTCTAAAAGGTCAATGAGTAAACAAAGTTATTCATGCCAGTTAACAATATCACCTTGAGAGCTGAACAAAACAGTAGATAAATCTGTATTTTTATATCACTCAACTTCCAAATTAGCATATACTTTTACATGAAGTATTACTTTTTGTATATTCAATAACAAATACAGTATAACTAGTAGAAGACTGATTTCTCTCCAACTTCAAAAGCTGTGAAAAAATAAACATGCCAGTCACCTATAACAGGTAAGTATTTGTGTGACTTCTGGTGTAAAATATTTAAACTATAGCTGTATTTTGAACACAGCATCTAAATATGAAACAATGTCCTATTTTTATCTCCTATAAATTGGACATAAAATGTATATAGTCTGAGATTTTATTTTTCTCTTTTGGGAGTAACTTTAAACTGTAAGAAAAACTTGCTTGTTCCCAAGGAAATGTAGTGCACCAAATCAAGACAAATGAACTTCAAACAAATTTGGTCTTCTCAATAGTTTGCAAGGACATGAAGCAGTAACACATGAAATTCTAATAGTACCAAGTTATGTTTGCCTACTGAACACTCTAAAATGGATCAACATCTAAGCACTGTGGAAGAAGAAAGAACATCCGAACTACAGTGACAGTGAGAACTTATATAAGATTAATACTATAGTGATAGTCAAAAGGCATAATTTATATTAAAAATAATTGGGAGGCTCTCTGCTATCCTTAATTATATAGTATTTTGTGTTACTTTGGCTAGGTGAACATATTTGAAGAAATTCAAAAACAGAGCTATAGCATATGGAAAGGACATCATAATCTACATAGATGCAAGCTGATCATTCTTTATGTAAGCAGATAAGGAAAAATCAGGCAGCTTTAAAGAACCAGGAAATGAAGGGAATTGCTCTACTAGGTGTATTAGCTTGATAATATACCCACAAATTATGTCCATTAACCACAATAGAAAGCAACAATATTTTTTCCACCCAAAGTATTCTTTTCAGTGTTTCTAATGCCAGGGAAACAGTGTTCCTATTTTCAGAATAAGCAGTATTTTCAAGTTTTATAGAGCATATACGTTTTATAGAAAGGTCATCACAAATGACCAAACACAAACAAAAATTCTGTCTTTTTAAATGATGAGGGGCCAAAAAATAACATGAGTTTAAAACAAGTAAAGAATTTTCTCGTTATGTGAGTCATATTCATCTGCAGCTCTAATTTGCTATTCAAATACCATCCTCATAAATATAGTCATATTGGCCAGCTATCAGCATTTATTGTCTGTCTCTGTTACCTATATCTATAGATCTCTATGTCTCTAGATCTGTAGACCTTGACGGTCAGAATGGGCAAATGAGATGCTAAGAACAAAAATGAAAAGAAAACAAAAAAAGATAGCCATTGTTTCAAAAGATAAGACAACATAATTAGTGATTATGGTGTCTAGGCCCAAATATTTGTAATAAATTCATCTCATTAATTTTATTTCAGTTCTATACGTAATTTGAAGAAATAAATGAATTGTGTTTGCTCAAACATTTTAATAACAAGAACAGTATGGCCTATAATTATATATTCTTGTATATATTCATTTATATATTGTCATGACATATTTATATGTGACTACAGACTTGGTTAACATGTAAGAGTAAATTTCAGTAAGATGCCTCCACAAATGGGGGAAAAATGTACATTTCAATGAATGCAAGTATATACTGAACACCTACAATGTGATAGTATGTGATAAATAAAATCTTACAAGTCATTGAAGTTTCAATGACAAATTTCATGAGTTGATTACTCTTAATTTAGATTGAGATAACTTGTATTAGATTTACTTCTTGGAAAACGTGTCCAAGTAAAACAGAAATTCTTGAATTATGGCCCAGAATAAGTCACATAACAATGGCTGAAGAAATCTAACAATCTAGAAGTTCTAATGGCTTGTGAAACAACTGAAGTTATGTCTGTAGGAATACAAAATTATATAAGATTATAACCTCTGTCAATCAATCCATCAGGCTCATATATTTGTTGATAAATAATACAGCCACAAGACAAAGAAGACTGTATATAACTACAAATCATTTACCACTTTTACTTTGATTTTTAAAAGTAACAGTAAAATTAGGAGGTATAAAGCTAAACATTTTTCAGCAAAAGATGTCCATTGGCTTTCCATCACACTTAGAATAACTACCTCACATTTCCCGCACTCCAGGCTAGCAGACTTTGTGCTGGTCTTAGAACATATCAGGTACATGAAGGGCATTTGTTGCTCCCTTTGCTTGGAATGCTTTTCCCCTGGATGTCTTCATTCAGATCCCTGTTCAAATATCACCTCTTCAGGAAAAACTTCATAGCCACTCTATCAAATGTAGCACTCTCTAGCCTACTTAATTTTTCTTAAATAACATTTTTAACAGCAACTTTTTTCATAGCATCTGGCATTCATTAGACGGATTTTGCATTTTCTCCAATTCCTCCCCACTAGAAAGGCCAGGGATGTGATTTGTTCACTGATGAATCTTTACAATTTTTTGAAGGATTAATTTACCAAACAGCAAAAAATGGAAGATTAATATTAAAGAATTTGCAACTTTACCTCAGTGCTATAAATATTATCTTTCCATACAATATATGCATGTTTTAAAGTTAAGAGTATATAATATAGCTAAATTAAAATAAGCACATAATATTCCTTACCTGAATTTCTAAAATCATTCTGTCAATCTCATCTTGTTGGCTGTCTATTATCTAAAACAAAGAAAATAAATATATCTGATTCAAGTAATTTTTGCATTGTTTCTTAAAAGTATCAACATTTCAAGAAAACATAGCACAGAAATTTATTTTCTAAAAGGGTCTTTTTTAAAAAACTAAAAGTACCCCTATGATATGGATCACACATGTATAAAACTACAAAAGGCTTCCTTGAGTTCTTGATAAAGCTTTTCTCAAATTTATACAATTTTTAATAATAACTTTGAGACTGAATAATTAAGGAAAGGAAAAGAAATCCTTTTGTTTTGGCTTTTATTTCAGTTATTTAATTTTGTTTGAATTGCTATGTTCCTTTCAAATAAAAACATTCAAACTAAAAATCATATAACCGACTAAATATTAAAATATAAATCACATAAAGAAGCTATAAATTATGTATCTATATATACACATCTACATAGAACAGATTTCATGTTTATTATCAAAGGTATCTACTGACCTTACTAGCAGTCTCATTTTGTTGTCTGAGATTATCGTTTTCATTCTGAAGCTGTTTTGCATCTAACATGGGAAGGCGGATTCCATCTTCAAGGCATCTTTCTACTTTTTGTTGCAAACTGTTTCAAAAGACAATTATAAAGAAAATAAGCTCTATTTGCTGATTTTGGTAATGATTTTAACATAAGTGATGTCCTTTTTTAGGGTCTATAATACTTTTTAATCAAGCAATAATCAAGACCCACAGACAGTATATGAAAAAATGTTATCTATATTTTATACAAGAAGGGTCCATAATTAGCTAGAGCCTGATCATCTTTTCAGAAATGGCAAATTTGAGACCAGAGTCCAGAGTTCATTATGTGACATCCTTAGGCCCCAATGAAGTCCTTCACTACCCCAATCTGAGCTCTGAAGTCTAACTCGTGTTCTTTCCTTTTCCTCTAAAAACAGAATTCCTTGATTAAGATGATTGTTGCAGGGAACCTAAGAATATGGATACACATCTTTTGTCCTTTATTCTAAGCTCAGCAAAAGTTTGCTTGTAAGGATAGCTGTTGCCTAAAACAGCAGAATTACATTTCTCTTTCATTTTTTTTTGTTTTGTTTTTTTCTTTAACTTTTATTTTAGTTTTGGGGGTACACATGCTGGTTTGTTACACAGATAAACTCGTATCATGGGGGTCTGCTGTACAGATTGTTTTGTCACACAGGTACTAAGGCTATACTAACCAAGTTATTTTTTCTGTTCCTCTCCCTCCTCCCACCCTCCACCTTCAAGTAGGCCCTAATGTCTGTTTCCTTCTCTGTGTTCATGAGTTCTTCTTCATTCTTTATAACTTGACAGAACACTTTCTTATGCTATCCATGGAACACAGTTGCATTTTAGAAGAGGAAACAACAAAGTAAGACTCTCTGCAGATTCAAAATAAAAAGACAAAATGGGAGAAGGGGGAAGGTGCTAGAAAGGAAGAACAGTAATGTTTGGTTAAAAGAAGTCACATCATTAGACAACAATTACCAAACCAAAACCAAATTAATAGCAGCAAGAAACCAAAAATAGCTCTACTTTAGCTTGTAATGATACTCAAGCATTGCAGAACTCTAAAAGGAAGATTTCTTATTAGTTAGGTTTTGAAAAAAATAAAAAAAGGATTTTCATTATTTTTATTTTTTTTTCAAGAATTATGGCTAATCTATGCTTTGTCTTTCAAAAAAAAAGAAGAAATGCCCTATCTAGATTGTGAAAAGAGAACTGACAGTCCTAGATGGTACAATAAGCACCTCAGATATGTTTATAAATAATGGCACCAAAGACATTTGTATATATTATCAATGTAGTGTACTGTTGTGTAATACATTGTCATAAAAGTATTTGCCTTTTTGAGTCTAAAGTACAAAACAAATTATTTCTATTTCAGAATGAGTTTTTTGTTTTGTTTTGTTTTGTTTTACCAATTGAGTGTCAAGACACTACTTCCAGACATTTCATGAGAAACAAAAAGCATTAAAAATATTTAAGTCTTTTACATTAAAAAAAAAAAATGAGCCAGCTATGAAGAGAGGAACTCTCTTCATGGCAAAATACCCAATACATTTTCTTTCATGTACACAGTTTTAGGTTATATAACATGTTCATTCAAGAAGCAAAGTACCTCTTAAATAAAAATGGTACCTACTATCGCATTACTAAGGAACTCACCGAACTTTTTAAATTTTTATTTCTAATAGGAAGCTTTTCTTATTTAATTTATATATTGCAAAAGTTGTTAAGTATTCACAGAACAGGAAGCTTAGAAATATTCATAGTCACATATACATCTGAAGTTCTTTTGGAACTCAATAAATATTATAGAGCTGAGGAAACTGTGATATCACCCTCACCCCTTTGATCCTTTATATTTATTTGAAATCAAGATAAATTTTCTGAGATGGTATCATCTCTGATAGTATCAAGATGAAATTTAAAAGTGGAAAATGTTTTCTGAGATGCACTGTACTAAATCTTTCTAAAACAAGAATACCAGGCTCAGTGTTTCCACAAAACCTAATAAAAGATAAAGTCTAAATAAAAAAGAAAGTATACAATCATATTAATATGTAAAAGCACACAGTGGAACAATGTAACATTCAAATTATTTTTCGGTGTTGCTAATTCTGTTCTTAAAGTAACACAGCTTAAATTTATAATAATGCTCTGTATGACAGAACAGACATAGTGACTCTTCATTTTATCAATAAGATGAAAGAAAAAGCTGTATGGTTGAATTAGTGAAGATCGGGAAGCTGTTTTGACACTAAAAAACAGGGCATAAGATGTAAAGTTATAAAAAGGAAAATTTAGGAACAAGAAACAGAAAATAGCAGACAGAGAAGTAGAATTAAAGGTATATGATTTTTTTTGGAACTGAGATGTGGAACACAGAAAACTGAATTGTCCCAGAAATCAGAAATTTTTTGCATTGAAACCCAAGGAAAAAAGTAGGACAAGGCATATTTAAGACTGAAAGTACTAGTAAAGCAATATTAACATGAAATTAACATGGAATCAGATGAATTTTTATTTAAAAGTTAAGAATAAATGGAATTGTATAATTGATATAAGCATGAAGATTGTATTTCTTGCATTTCATTTCTGTTGCTTTGTTGTTTTATTATTCAGGATAGTTTTATCTATTTATAGCTGTTAAGATTTAAGTTTTGCAAAACAGAAAATCCATGTCTATACATATAAAATACTTCCTTAGGTTTTTCAGGGATCAGTATTAATTTCCAGGTTTAATAAACACAAACTGAATTTGCAAATGATATTCATTGTAATTATAACTGTATTAATTGACTCCCATGGGGGAAGATATGTAAGTAAATCTGGAAGATATATGGCAAAACTGTCGTACTTGCAGTAAAGTGAAATAGGAGCCAATTATTTCAATTTGATATATTCCACTAAGGAGTACAGTTTGGGTATTTTGCTGGCCCCTTGTTACTTAGAATTTTTACTTTCTTTTTAAAATAAGCCATTAGATAAAGGGTTTGTATTAATATTTTCAGTCTTTGTTTTGTTTGAGTTTTTATTTTTACTATTTTCACTGAAACTTTTGGCAAGACACCAATGCATTGCTTCAAAATGTTAAATTACAACTGAGACAACCTGTTTCAAAGAAATTATGCATCTGGTTCTTAATACATGTTGAGCATCACTAATCCACAAAACTTGAAATCTGAAATGCATCAAAATCCAAAATTTTTTAGCAAAAATTTTTGAGCATCTCCTTGATGCTCAAAGGAGATGCTCATTGGAGCATTTCACATTTTGGACTATCAGATTAGAGATGCTCAGTGGGTAAGTACTTTGCAAATACTGCAAAATCCAAAAAAAATCTGAAATCTAAAACATTCCTGGTCACAGCAGTTTGGATAAGTGATGAGCATCCTGTAGTGCATCTTTAACACAGGAGAATAAAATACAAATTATAAATTAATTCAGTTTAAGTAAAATGTTTTATGAAAAATATGAACAAAATAATGTAAAAGGATTCAGAAAATTTTCTTACCTTTGAACGGTAGTTACTAACTCCTTTTCTTTCTTTTTCTGGCATATTAACTGTGTCTCTTTATCTTGACACTGGTTTTTGATTTCTTCAAGTTTTTTTTCTGTATCTATCAAAGCCTCTTGTAAATTCTTATTTTTTTCTTCTAGAATCTGCAGCTAAGGAGAAATTTTTTACAGTTATACATGAAATATTAAATATGCTTCTATTAGAAATTGTTACTGTGTTGGCAAGGATTAACAGACTTGTAGCTAAAAAAAAAAAAAAATCGCACTATTTTATCTAGAGTGTTTAACACTCCATCTCCTCCTCTGTGTGAAAGGCACCTAGAGGAATGGAATTACGAGGAAGAGAATGGGGTTAGAAATTTGTGGAAGACAGAGAAAGGTTAATATTCTCATTTTAAATATTTTTAATTGTCATATAGTGTACAGTTCAGTTGTGTTTAAGTACATTGACATTGTTGTGTATCTAATCTCCAGAACTCACCTCGCATAAATTGAAATTCTATATCTGTTAAACAACTCCCCATCTATCCCTCCCCCCATTCTCTGGTAACCAACTTTCTACTTTCTGTCTCTGTGACTGAATTTTAAGGTATCTCATTAAGTAGAATCATACAGTATTTGTCATTTCATGACAAGCTTATTTCACTTTGCAAAATGTCCTGCAGGTTAATCCATATGATAGCATGTGTCAGAATTTCCTTCCTTGTTGAGGCTAATAGTATTCCACTATATGTATACACAATCCTTTAGTTTATTCATTTATCTGGTCATGGACACTTGGGCTACTTCCACCTTTTGGCTATTGTAAATAATCATGTTATAAACATGAGTGTACAAACATCTGTTTAAGACCCTTAATTGCCACCCTAATGGATGTAAGGTATTTTCTTACATATTTTCCATTGCCCTCTGTTCCTGCTCATGCAACCTTCTGTAGTCCTTAAGTTCCTTCCTGACTTTGATCTCTCTTAGTTTTATAACTTATAAATTAAATGTAAAATAAACAGAGAATGCTACATAGGTCTTAAAGAATGCAGAGTGACACTCCATAGATTAGACTAATGATTCTCAACTGGGGGTAATTTTACCCCTAGAGGACATTTGGAAATATCTGTTGACATTTTGGGTTTGGGAGAAAGGAGAAGGAGCAGGGCAGTTGGCACTTAGTGGGTAGAGGCCACATATGTGGATGCAGAAGTACACCCTTCAATGCTCAAGGCAGACCCCTGTAACAGAAAATTTTCTGCCTCAAAGTGTCAATAGTGCCAAGGTTGAGAATCCATGGCTTAGAAAAACTTTGGGAAAAGACTGAAGAGTAGAGCTAGTGGATTTATAAACAAGGTTTCAAGAGAGTAGGGCTCACCTGAGTTAGGAGAAAGACTCTTGAGGTATTGTTAAGAAAAAAAAAGGAAGTCAGAAGAGTAAATTGAGGTCACAGGTCAAGGCATAAGAAAAAATATATATATAAAGGTTAAGAAGAATAAAGAAAATAAATATCTAGAAACATAGTCAACAAAAGGTCTTTTTGAGACTTGGTGAATCCTACAGACTGCTGGAAAAAGACAGAACTGGGGGTGTGTGCATGTGTGTGTATGGGGTAGTGGCTGGTAAGACTGGTTTAGAAACTAACTTCTACAGTAGTTAAATGAGAGTTACAACACAGGACCATTAGAAAAGTAATCACTTATTAACAGACAAGAAAGATCTACTATGCATGCTTAGATAAACAAATTTTCTGATTAAAATTAAGTCCCCAAAACAGCAACTAAACACATAGATTTAATTTCTAATTAGCCAAATTTATTTCTTTTCTTTTCTTTTTTTGAGACAGATTCTCACTCTGTTGCCCAGGCTGGAGCGCAGTGGTGCAATCTTGGCTCACTGCAACCTCCGCCACCCAGGTTCAAGCGATTCTCTTGCCTCAGCCTCCTGAGTGACGGGGATTACAGACAATGCTACCACACCCAACTGATTTTTGTATTTTTAGTAGAGACAGGGTTTCACCATGTTAGTCAGGCTGGTCTCGAACTCCTGACCCCATGATCCACCTGCCTCAGCCTCCCAAAGTGCTGGGATTATAGGCATGAGCCACTGTGCCAGGCCAATTAGCCAAATTTCTAAAGAGTAAAGTTAAGAACAACATGTTTTCATGTCATTTAAAGACAAGAATTTAACTTCATGTTACCTGTAGACTTTGACTCTGCACATCATCTAGAGTTGGAAGATCAGCCAGGTACTTTTCCAGGGTCTCAATTCTTCTCTGCTTTTCTTTGTTTTGTTCAGATTCCTTCTGGCACTTCTTTTTCAGGCTACTGATGTATCGATCTCTAGTTTTAAGCTAGAAAACAATTATGAATCTTCAGTAGTTTTAAGTCATTAAAAGATATAACAAAACTAACACTTTAATCTTAGACACTGTTGAATTCACCAACAGTTTCAGGTTATAGTGAAGGCTACTAGTAACTAAATTAAGATTTACCTTATTTCATTCTAAGATTTATACTTGCCAGGTGCAGTGGCTTACCACCTGTAATCCCAGCACTTTGAGAGGCTGGAGCAGGCGATTCACCTAAGATCAGGAGCTCCAGATCAGCCTTAGAACTTTATTTCATTGAAGATTTCTAAGTTTCAGGTTATAGTGAAGTCCACTAGCAACTCAATTAAGATTTATCGATGAAAAGGTAACATTTGCTTACTCACACGTGCCATGCACAGCCCTGAACGTTTGCTCTCATTCATGCTTAGTTGCTCTCCAGCGAGCCAAGCCAAGCCTGGGCATCCGAAACTACTGGACCAACTGCCCCCTGACTGCAGGAGCCACCTGGTGGCCCCACGTGAACTGCTGCCAGCCCCCTGCCCTGCGGCTCCTGCCTGTAGCTGGGGACCATGATCTCCACCTCGAAGATGGCCAAATAGGAACAGCTCTGGAGTGCAGTTCCCAGCGAGAACAATGCAGAGGGTGAGTGACATTGCATTTCCAAACAAACGTTCACTGCCCACAGAACAGGAGATTCCTGGGCTGAAAAGCACCAGGAGTTACCAGCACAGCAGATGGCGCAGCGGGTCTCCACACAAAAACTCACACAAATATGGGCAGCCCTTTCAACTGGCGCCTGAAACACCTGGGCAGCAGAGCCGCCTATTCAACTGAAAAAAAGGGGACTGAAACAGGGAGACAGGTGAACTGGCTCTGCGGGTCCCACCTCCACAAAGACCAGCAATCTGAAATGCTCTGGATTGAGAGTTTCACAGCAAGCGCTGGACCGGGGACAGTATAGCTCTGTTGGGGGAAGGGCATCTGATATTACTGAGGCAGTCCATGACTACTGAGGCAGACTGCCATTACTGAGGCAGTTCTAACTATACCTCCATAAACAAAACCGTAAGGAACTTTACACAGCAGCTGGCAGAACCGACGGCAGCTCAGCAACACCTCTGCTGGCAGACTGTGACTAGGCTACCTCTTTGCTGGGCAGAGCAGCTCCAAAAAAAGGCAATAGCATGTAAGAAACTTATACATAAAGTCCCACCGTCCCAGACAGTGTGTCTGGGAAAAAAAGGCAGTTATGAGTTCTGCTTCAGCAGACATAAACGTACCTGCCCAGCAGCTCAGAACAGAACAACGGAGCTCACAGCTCAGCACCTGAGCTCCTATAAGGGACAGACTGTCTCCTCAAGCAACTCCCCGACCCCCGTATAACCAAAGAGACACTTCATAAAGGAGAGCTCAGGCTAATATCTGGCAGGCATCCTTCTGGAAGATAACAGAAGAAGAAATGGAGCAACCCTTACTGTTCTGCAGTGGCCACAGGTGATCCCCAGGCAAGGAGGGTCTGGAGTGGACCTCCAGCAATCCTACAGCAGAGGGGCCTGACAGTTAGAAGGAAAACTAAAAAACAGAAAGAAATAATTTCATCATCAACAAAAAGGGCATCCTACTCAGAGACCCCATCCAAAGGTCACGAACTACAAAGACCACGGGTAGGTAAATCCACAAAGATGGGAGGAAACCAGCACAAAAAGGATGAAAACACCAAAAACAAGAATACCTCTCCTCCTCCAAGGGATCACAAGTCATCACCAGCAAAGGAACAAAGCTGGATGGAGAAGGAGTTTGAAGAATTGACAGAAACAGGGTTCAGAAGGTGGGTAATAACAAACTTCTCTGAATTAAAAGAACATGTTCTAACCCAATGCAAAAAAACTGAAGAATCTTGAAAACAGGTTTGACGAAATGCTAATGAAAACAAACAGCTTAGAGAAGAATATAATTGAATTGATGGAACTGAAAAATGACACAAGAACTTCGCGAAGCATATACAAGTTTCAATAGCCGAATTGACCAAGCAGAAGAAAGGATATCAGAGGTCAAAGATCAACTCAATGAAATAAAATTAGAAGGTAAGATTAGAGAAAAAAGAGGTAAAGTAAATGAACAAAGCCTCCAAGAAATATGGGATTATGTAAAAAGAACTAATCTACATTTGACAGGTGTATCTGAATGTGATGGAGAGAATGCATCCAAGCTGGAAAACACTCTTCAGGATATTATCCAGAAGAACATCCCAACCTAGGAAGGCAGCCAGTACTGAAGTCTAGGAAATACAGAGAACACCATAAAGATATTCCTCAACAAGAGCAAGCCCAAGGAACATAATCCTCAGATTCACCAGGGTTGAAATGAAGGAAAAAATGCTAAGGGAAGCCAGAGAGAAAGGTCGGGATACCCACTAAGGGACGCCGATCAGACTCACAGCGGATCTCTCAGCAGAAATTCTACAAGCTAGAAGAGAGTGGGGGCCAATATTCAACATCCGTAAAGAAAACAACTTGCAATCTAGAATTTCATATCCTGCCAAACTAAGCCTCATAAGTGACGGAGAAATAAAATCCTTTATGAACAAGCAATTGCTGAGAGATTTGAAAGTTCTAGCCAGAGCAATCAGGCAAGGAAAAGAAATAGAGGGTATTCAATTAGGAAGGAGAAAGTCAAATAAATTGTCTCTATTTGCAGATGACATGACTGTATATTTAGAAGACTCCATCATCTCAGCCCAAATCTCCTTAAACTGATAAGCAACTTTAGCAAAGTCTCAGGACACAAAATCAATTTGCAGAAGTCACAAGCATTCCTAGACACCAATAACAGACTAAAAGAGAACCTAATCAAGAATGAACTGCCATTCACAATTGCTACAAAATACCTAGGAATACAACTATCAAACGATGTAAAGGACCTCTTCAAGGAGAATTGCAAACCACTGCTCAAGGAAATAAGAGAGGACACAAACAGATGAAGAAACTATTCCATGCCCATGGTTAGAAAGAATCAATATTGTGAAAATGGCCATACTGCCCAAAGTAATTTATAGATTCAACGCTATCCTCATCAAGCTACCTATAGCCCTCTTCACAGAACTGGAAAAAGTCACCTTAAACTTCGTATGGAACCAAAACAGCCTGCATAGCCAAGACAATTCTAAGCAAAAAGAACAAAGCTGGTGGCATTATGCTACCTGACTTCAAACTATACTACAAGGCTACAGTAATCAAAACATCATGGTACTGGTGCTAAAACAGAGATATAGACCAATGGAACAGAACAGAGGCCTCAGAGGCAACACCACACACCTACAACCAGCTGCTCTTTGACAAACCTGACAAAAACAAGCAATGGGGAAAGAATTCCCTGTTTAATAAATGGTGGTGGGAAGACTGGCTAGCCATGTGCAGAAAGCAGAAACTGGACCCCTTCCTGACACCTTACACTAAAATTGACTCCAGATAGGTTAAAGACTTAAACATAAGGCCTAACACCATAAAAACTCTAGAAGAAAACCAAGGCAAAACCATTCAGGACATAGGCATAGGGAAAGATTTCATGACCAAAACACCAAAAGCATTGGCAAAAAAAGCCAAAATAGACAAGTGGGATCCAATTAAACTCCAGAGCTTCTGGACAGCAAAAGAAACAATCATGAGAGCGAACCGGCAACCAACAGAAAGGGAAAATATTTTTGCAGTCTACCCATCTGACAAAGGGCTAATATCCAGAATCTACAAAGAACTAAAACAGATTTACAAGAAAAAAACAAACCCATTCAAAAGTGGGAGAAGGACATGAACAGACACTTTTCAAAACAAGACATACATGAGGCCAACAAACATATGAAAAACGGCTCATCATCACTGGTCATTAGAGAAATGCAAATCAACACCACATTTAGATACCATCTCATGCCAGTTAGAATGGCAATCATTAAAAAATCTGGAGACAACAGATGCTAGAGAGGATGTGAAGAAATAGGAACACTTTTACACTGTTGGTGGGAGTGTAAATTAGTTCAACTATTGTGGAAGACAGTGTGGTGATTCCTCAAGGATCCAGAAATAGAAATTCCATTTGACCCAGCAATCCCATTACTTGGTATATATCCAAAGCATTATAAATTGTTCCATTATAAAGACACATGCACATGTATGTTCATTGAGGCACTGCTTACAATAGCAAAGACCTGGAACCAACCCAAATGCCCATCGATGATAGACTGGACAAGGAAAATGTGGCACATGTACACTATGGAATACTATGCAGCCATCAAAAACGATGAGTTTGTGTCCTTTGTGGGGAAATGGATGAATCTGGAAACCATCATTCTCAGCAAATTGACTCAGGAACAGAAAAACAAACACCACATGTTCTCACTCATAGGCAGGTGTTGAACAATGAGAACACATAGGCACAGGGAGGGGAGCATTACACACTGGGGTCTGTTGAGGGGGAATATGGGAGGAACAGCAGGGGAGTAGGGAAGTTGGGGAGGGATAACATGGGAAGAAATGCCAGATATAGGTGACGAGGGGATGAAGGCAGCAAACCACATTGCCATGTATGCACCTATGCAACAATCCTGCATCTTTTGCACATGTACCCCATAATCTAAAGTGCAATAAAAAAATTATATATATATATGATTTATCTTATTTCATTCCAAGATTTACACTTCCAGGGCGTGTTGGCTCACGCCTGTAATCCCAGCACTTTAGGAGGCTGGGGCAGGCAAATCACCTGAGGTCAGGAGTGTGAGACCAGTAGTGATGGGGTTTCAACAATGCAAAACCCGGTCTCTACTAAAAAAAAGTACCAAAAAAGTTAGCTGTGTGTGGCGGTACATGCCTGTAGTCCCAAGTGCTCGGGAGGCTGAGGCATGAGAATCATTTGAACTAGGGCAGCGGAGACTGCAGTGAACCGAGATCATGCCACTGCACTCTTGCCTGGGCGACAGAGTGAGGCTCTGTTTGAATAATAAAAAAATATGTATTTAAACCTAAAAAAAA